CGATCTTTGGCATTTGCAAATTCCTGTCAATCAATCAGGAATAGACAATTATAATTCAGCCAATCAAACAATTAAAGAACAAAATAATGAATAAAATAACTAACAACAAAACAATTAATTAATAATCAATAATCAATTAACAAATTGCCAAAAAATATTCACTGCATGCAATGTACTTTATTTATACAGCGTTTGTGCTACATTTTTACTACACAATTCCAGGACTTTTCATTCCAAAGTACTTTTTAAGAACAATTATATTGCGATTTTCAAGTTATGTTTATGTTTTTGAAGATGTTTCTTGATGTTTGCAAACGTTTCCAGTGCCAATTTAAAAAATATCCACATTCAATTCAAAAGCAAACAAGCAACATATCAATTTCATCAGATTCAAGGAATTTTTAAGGTCTTTTCAAGTGCCCTTGGAAACGACTTTGCAAGGATTTTAAGGAAAAGCACAAACCCTGTACGTGTATATAGGTACTTGTCAGGCAACAGGATACAATATCATTATCGACAAAAGCAATAACAGCAACAGTACCAAAAACAACAAAATAATACGGCAACAAACCTGCATTGATGAATATTCGGCCACACACACTTTCACAGTAAGTTCATTCTTGCGGTTTCTCATCAACAAATAAAGACGTTTTCTACAATTTGGAGCTGTTTTGTCCCAAGAATCCTGAAATATCATTTGATAACAACATGAAAATTAGCATCAATGTATTTAAGAACTTTAAGAAGTTTACACCAAATGGCAAAAATGTTGCCCTTGGATTTAGGGACTTAGGAATTTACTGGAAAACATTGAAAGACACATATATTTAAGATGACCACCCAACACTTTCTATCATGTTTTAACTAATAATTAATTCCTAAATAACAATTTTGAAGTGCTTTTTCTTTGAAAACATTTCTGTTATTAGGTGTATAACTATTAAATGTGGTTAATCTTTAAGCAAAGTTAACTTGAGTGGAGTGCCGGCCAGTGGTGTGTGATTTCTGCATTTCTGCATGCGTAATTGCCTTACTTTGCCTCATGGCTGTTATCGCTAGCGGATTGTAGCTTTGTATTGCCTGGTGGTTTTGCCCCGCTCACCCTCCTCTGGTCAGATAAGGTAAGTAGTTTCAATTCCTGACCACACTTTTTACAGTGTGACAGGTGCCGAGGTTAACCCATGGCTAGATTGCAATGGTTAACACCTTGCCGATTGCTTGCCTTCGCTTGCCTTGCTCTAGGCACCTACCCTCCATCGTGACGACAAGTCAAGTTTAAGTTATACAGTACAAAAAAAGAAAAGGCTATGCTATTATCAAGAATATAAATTTTCTTTAAGGGGGGCAAATAGTGAATTCCAGACTTTGGGAGACGTCCAGACTTCTAGCATTTTTTTCAGTTAGACAGAGACTTAATTCAGAGACTTTGCAATCTTCCCAAAAAAAGACATTAAAATTCAACTATGAAAATTTTGCAAGACCTGGAATTTTTGAAACTAAGGCAATTTTCCAACCCCCTTCTTTCTCTTACCTTTGGACAATGCTCATGTAGAATGTTTCTAATTTGTACATATAGATTATGATCACGATAATTATCCACACCCATTATCTCGAGTGCTATCTTACACAGGATAAGCTATAGAGGAAAGAACAGATTAGAGTGAGGATATTACATGGGCGCACAGAGATAACAGACTTTATCTTCAAGTGTTGAAAAGATCTTTGCTACACTTGCTTGTGAGAGGTTTCCACATATATATTAAAACATCATAAAATGCCGTTTTTCCTACTTCAACTATATAGAGAAACCTCGAACAATGTGTTATTTTCACCTAGTTAAATAACATGTTATTTCATGTCCTCAATTGAACAGCAGTCACTACTTTTGAATAGAAAAAAGTATATTAAAAAATTGAAGTTCTACTTACAACTTTATCATTATCAGGAGAGAAATAAACTCTCATTCCCTTCTTTTTAGCCATTGCAGCTTTGTCTGTGTCATCTACTGCCACTTAAAATTAATGAGAAAATTAATAGAGAACAATGAGAATAAATAAATAGTTCTGAACACAAATAACGCAGGCTCAAGTTTACAGGAAAGTGAGTGACTGAGTGAGTGATTGAGTGAGTGACAGATTCGTCCCCCTCTAATAACTCTTCCATTGCTTTGCAATCTTCGAGTTAAAAAACACAATGCATTCATATTTTCATTGCCCATAATATGCATTAAGTTCCCTGCAATATATTAACTGGTACTAAAAACGCAAAAGCTGAATATGTTCTGCTCAGTCAGGCCTCACTTAACTCAATCACATGGCTGYRCAAACAATCCCATTATAATCTTACCTAAATGASAGTTCACACTAACAGTGCCAGAGCTTTTCTTTTTCTCAGTTGGTGTTGGACTCTCTTCCACTTTTTGTCTCTTAGTAGGGGAAGCTTTAGATTCTACAAAAAGTGTGATGATAATTAGAGTGGAAAGGGAAATAAGAAAAAGAACAAACAGTGACAATGAGAACAAAGAAAACAGATAATAGTTTTAGAAGAAGGGAGACCTATATTAGATAGAAGTTTTAAATGAAATGAATAGTTAATGAAAGCCAAATCACTGTTTCAAGGGAGCAGCGCTCCCTCTCATCAGCCGTATATACAATTTATTCAAGCGACCAGGTTTATATACAGTAAGTTATAACAAATTAGTATACACCTAATAAAATATAAAATATAGCTACACATTCTTAAGAAGATGTTTAGTAGCGTGCCTGTACGCACTGGTGAGTTTGTTGTGTTTGTTCAAAGCTCTATAATAAAAGAAGCTAAAAAAATAAAGCTATTATATAATCATTATTTCTTAATTATGCTAATTTACTATAATTGAGATAGAGGTTTACCTCTTTTCAGAAGAAAAAAATTCTTGCTCTACTCTACAGTATCGAGCACCCTTTGATACGCAAAATTCATACAGTACACTATAATAATTATAGGTAATATTAATATTCTACAATATAAATACCTTTTAATGGTCGTTTCTTTTTAGATTTGGGTCTTGGTGCTTTGATTCCTGTGTCTGTTTTACGCTTCTTAATTTCTTGCTTTGCAACTATATCATGCTGCGATTTTCTACATGCATATTGAACAGAACATGATAAGCCAAAGTAAACATAAAACATGATATCATAATTTCTGCATATTGCTGTATTATCATTATTTCTTAGTGTTTTACCTCTTTTCAGATGAAAAAATTCTAAACTTCATGAAGTCACCTATTAAAAGAAAAAAAAGTCAAATTATAACACTAACATTTTTGTACTGAGGGTGTCAAGATATGGTAAGCTCAGTTAACCAATGAACTAAAATATCCTTTATCCAAACCTGTACGGAAACTCCAGTTTCTAGCAAGATGAGAAAAAAGACAACTGTCAAGTCCAGCAGCTCCCAAAGAATCCCCAGGGGGTGGTAGAATGTTGTCCTCAGTGATCAGCTCTGTTTGACAGTCGCTGAACTTGAAGGAATGATGGGTTTTGACATTTTTCTTTTCTTCATAAAGAAAAAAATAATCTAAATGTTTTTGAAAACAGTTATGAAAGAAAAACAGTCGAATTTGATATATATTACTTTAATAAAAACAAAGAACAACAGCCTTAAGTTTTAACATGCTTCAGCGAAGGGTTTCTCTGGCCCAAACTCTCTCAGAGCGGCTAGGAATGCCTGGCTACGCAGGCTATTAGATACTTAAATGATATTAGTGTACTTAGGTAAGGTATCTGAGGAAGGGGGRTTGATCGCAAAACATATCAAAACTGAAGGCAGTTATTCTTTGTTTTAATTGGAAAGATTTCAGAGTATATTATAATTACAAAAATCAAAAAATAATATTTTTTTATTTTTGCTATACAGTAAATGACACTGTGACAAATGAAGTCCTTGACCTTGCAGAGTTAATGAAACCAATTTTGAAAAATCAAATCTGAAAAGTTTTTTGTGTGTGTGATGTCATTACTTTACGGCGTTGTAATAATCATAAATTGGCAATGACGACTAAATAAAAGTTTGAACACACAAAATAACACATTACATACTTTTATTATATGAAGTCCTAAGGCAAATATACTTGAGATCTTCCCAGAATGCTTGTACATCACTGAACTTATGGAAAACAAACTGACGAAAAGGAAAWTCTTSACGGCTTATTGGATTGTCTTCCCCAATGGTGTAATTCTTGGAAGTGTCTAATACAATAGCTCCTCTG